ACGACGACGTATAACTTTCGCCTGAATAATTGCCGGAACTGGAGGACTCCGGAGGCGAATATTCGGAGATGAGAGAACAGCTGGAGGCAAAGCCGATTTCCTGAGAAAGCTGTGGCTGAATCGAAGGCAAAAGCACTGATTTCATGCCTAAAAACGGTTCTAACGCCCTGAAAAACGTTCGTTTAAACACACTGGTTCATAGACAAATAATGACTATGTTAATTGCAAAATGTCATTCTTTACCGTGCATATTCAGCTTTGAAGTTGATATGACACTGGCTGGTAAATGCCGGCCTTATTCGCTGGTACTCAAGCTTCAATAACTTCACCCGGTCAATTAGCTGATATGCATGAAACAAAAAGTCGACTTTGGTCGCCGACGAGCAAAGCAAGCTGGCGATCACCTTGTAAAGATCAGCTGTCGGATTCAGGGCCTGCAGTATCCGGAGATTCCTCTCTGCGTACTCTTCTTTTTCTCGACACTTTCTGAAAAAACGCTTTATTTAGCAAATAACCTGTTACAGGGATCATTATGCGAAAGAGACATTAAGCGCAAATGTATACAAAAAATTTGTACGAAAATATTTTTGTCAAAAATAAATCAATAGGTACAAACTCAAATGTTTATTCAATACAAAGCTTTCCGAACAACAGAACAGTGTGACAATGTCATTTTTGTGTTACAGTTGACGTCACGATGATACTGAAACACTGTCTTAGAATTATGAAGTTTCGAATTGAATAAATATATTATTTTCAGGGGTAGTACCGTTTACTTTTAGCCACGTCATGAGCTTAATAACTGAAAAATAAACCTGGCAATGACGCCACGAACTTCACGCAAAATGTCGGGAACCAAAGCGATGTACAGGTTGAGTATCAATCTGTAATTTAGAATATTCCAAAATCCGTAACATTGCATTAATTCGCTTCTTGAGTCTTGAGATTTCTGAAATATTCTTAGATGATATGAACAACAGCCGTAACACCCTTTCCGTCTCCTTTTCCCTGCCTTAATCGACAGAGGGAGCTCTGTCCCTAATGAGGGCTGGATGATCAGACGTTATCAGAAGTTCTCTACGTCTTATTCGTGAAAACACTTGACCACTATTCGTTTTTGTGTAGGGTCAAAAGGAATAACATGTCAAACACGATATTTTCATGCTTACACTTTGTCCCGGAAACAACCCACTAACTCCTAAATTCTACCCCCTCTTTTTTCTTTCCTCAACTCCTCCATTCCAACCTATATAGGGTGTACGAAAATGTCTTTCTGTACCCGATGATGCTGCAGTGCAACAAAATTCGGATCGTTTCAGTTTGCGGAACAACTAAGTTTGTTTTCATGTTAATATGAACTCTCTGTTTTGAGCCATTAAAATTTTTATTCAAAGGAAACGGATTCGTTATATTGTGTGCTGAACTGGAGAATTTAGGTTAGAATACGTGTTAAATGGTTTTAATAGATTATATTTCAGAATTTTTCAATATTTTTATTTCAATCCTTTTTTGATTCTGTGATCC